CTGCAGCCATGAGGCGGAAGTAAAGGCTGATGTGGCCAGTAGAACTGGATGAGGCCCCTAGAGTGGACAGGTCCGATTGCCAGGTCCTCAAGACCATTGGACAGTTCCTGGGAGTGCTGATTGTTGCTGCCCCCAGAGGGTCTGTCCCTCACAGCCCACAGAGCAGGCGCCTGGACACGAAGGGGTCCCTTTAGCTCTCTTGGGTGGTCCAGCCTCTGCTGCCGCCCTCCAGGGGGGTTGGAAGACCCCTGAGCCTCCTTCTAGGGCAGAGTTTAGATCCTGTGCATTTAGGATGCCTGTCGAAACCTGCTTTTCCTGCCGAGTTCTTTTCTGATATTTCCCTCAGTTGTTGTCAGACCAGGAGCTCTTTCCCATAAGGGAGCTGAGGGGATTCGGATAGTGAGTGGTTCATTGTGGGAATGGAGGGCACCCCATCGACTCCATCTTGGGACTCAATTCTGGAACCAGCTCAGGTCTCTTCCTACTCAATTATGGGTCTGGTTCAATGTCTACCTTGTGAGAAAACTATTCAATTGTGGGAATTGTGAGAAAACCTTATTGTATTATGTGAAACTGGCATGGCGTGGCTGGGAAGCTGGACCCCCTCTCCCAGCTGCTTAGACACCCTTGACCAGAGACGCAGGCTGTGCCGGTCAGATCCCGTCAGATCCGGGGATCCATGGGAGGAGTTTCCTCAGTTATGCATCTCAGGGAACCCACATCTCTTCCATGAAGTCTGGCCCCCTTCTGGTCACTCAGTTATGGTTTCCTTGTTCCTCTGATTGCACACAGGCGCCTGGGGGGAGGGGGAGGGGGAGGGACCCTCTTTCTGATTTCAGGGACTGGCACCTGCTCCCCTCCCCCTCCCAACTTAGTCCCTAATCTGTCTTCCAGTTAGAGACCACGTGACCTGATCTTGTATCCTGGCGGTTTTCTTTCCATTAATTGATCCTACTTGATTGTTTTTGACGTGTAAACATCTATCTGCTCTGTGTTTGGGGTCCAGTGCCAAAGCTGAGGAGGCGTGGGCCCGATTGCACCGTTACTTAATAAATCAGTGTGCTCAGAGGCTCGCACCCTGCCTTCCTCAGTCATCCGTCTTGCACCCACTGCACCGCGTTCACGTTCTTGGGTTTGCCCAGGTTGTGTGAGGACCCAATGAGATCTATTTACGGGGCACTCGGCACCGTGTCTGGCGAGTACTAGGCACCATCGACATACCCGACCCCTTCCCTCCCTCTTCAGGCTCCAGGCTGTTGAGTGGGATGGCTTCCACTGCTGATGGACGGCTCTCATGGGCTCCACTGACTAGTTCTAAACCAGCAATGAGCAGTTTTAACAATCGCTGCTCCACAACGTCGATGGAGGTCTGGGAGGCCATCTCCCCTTTTTATTTCCCTTGGGATCATGGATACTTGGCTCCTCTGTGGAAGCTCTGGTCCTCTTCCACCTCAGTGTGGTCCTTTCTGGCTGCTCGCCTCCCAAGCCTGTGCCCCCTTGGCACCTGTCTTCTCTCTGCATATGTATTGCGGCATCACCTGGCCCCTGCTCAGATGGCGCCTGCTGGCCTTGTGCCCACGTGGCTCACCTGATGTGGGAGCTGTGCCCTGCTCCAATGAGCTTTGGGATGGCCTCTGGTGTGGCTCACCTTCCAGACCCCTGACCTCTCTGAACTCCCCCAGCCTGACCTCGACTGCTCTGACCTCTTCCCTCCAATCCTTCTTGGGTGGGCTCCCCCCTGCCCTGCTGTGGCCTCCTTGACCCTCCCCTGGAAGCGAAGCCCACCTTGCTATCAGCCTCTGCTTCCTCTGATGCTGCCCTCCAGATAGGGCTCAGGACTCCCCTCTGGCTCTGTCCCCCCCACCAGAGCTCTGGCTCTGAGGTTTTGGGCATACTTCCTCGCACCAGGGGCATGGATGGGCGCCCCCCCCCCCCCCCCCCAGGGCTGGACTTTTCTGCTCCTCTCCCCTCCCCCCAAACTCACCTGTCCTGTGTCCTTAGTGTGGGCGGGGGCAGGGCACCAATGGCTGTTTATTAATGGGAGACATCTGCAGGTCAGGAAGAAGGCAGTGACTCTGCCAGGGCAGACCAGTGGGAGAAGGGTTTGGGACTGGGGCGGGGGTCTTTTGGAAGCATCTTCTCATTGAGATTGGTGACTGTATGGTCCCAATTTTAACCCTCTTCCAATATATAAGATAATTTTATTCAACAGACACAAGTAGCTCTCATCCTCATCATCAGGTGGTCTGGACATTAGAGAAATATCGCCTCCTGCCCCCAAAAAGCCTTGGGTGAGTTTTGAGGGGGAGAAAGTGACCTTTGGAGGGATCAAGAGGGCTTCCTGTAGGAGGCAGCCCTTGAATTGGGTTTAAATTTCAGGAAGGCACCCGGTGTTTATTCAGTGACCCGTAGGGGGATGCTCCAGTGAGGGGGAGCCCCTCCCAGAATGGCCCCATGGTTTCCTTTGCCAATCCCAAAGCCTTCACATTGTCTTGGGGTCCCCTCCTGCATTTGCCCCCCAGAAATACCCAGGTCTCAGGGTTCAGAGTCACTGAGAGGGAAGGTCCTAAACACTGACTTGCCTCCACGTGGCCCTGACCACTGACTGCTTTCACCAACTAGGGAGCCCAAGGGCACCTACACAGCACAGGGTTGGATCTCGCCGGGGCGAGAAGAGCCTCAGAACCTGGCCGAGCCCAAGAGCTACTGACCAGGCAGGAGGGGTCAGAGGATCACGACCCCCCACCTTCCCCCCAGGCTGGGAGCAGCTGCCCTCAGGGCCCCTGTGGCTGGTGTGAGCTGCTGATCTTGTGGCCTGAGGTTGTGCTAAGGCTTTGGCCGCTTTTGTGGTGTGTAGACGCTGCCCATCTGGGTCTCTTGGTACCATTCCAGGAGTGACAGGTGCTGACCTCCTGATAGTAACCTGAAGAGCCTCAGATCCTGCCATGTGCACCCTGCACAGGAAGCCTGGATGCCACAAGCTGACCTCTAGGCATGAATGGCTGCCCCCTCGGTTAACCAGACAAAGCCAGTCAACTGAGATGTTTTCCACCTGCCTACCCCAACCCCCATCATAGACTTTCCTTTGTCACATCTCAGAGGATCCCCTAAGGCTCTGCTAAAAGGGCTTGATGGTCCAGATGGGGCCCCCCCACCGAAGGCAGCAAGAGCTCCTCACTCTGGTCCCTCGAACCCTGGCCATGGCCTCCAAATGATTCCTGTGGCTTCGTCAAGCCCAGAGGAGCCTCTCAGGGGCACAGCATCGAGGACTCTCTCCCTGAGAGTTTGGAGCCTCAGGTGAATGGGGGGGAATCCTGGGAAGTGCCAGAAGATAGTGGCCTGTACCCCAAACATCCTTCCCAGAGCCCCACACTGATGGCCTGCCACTCCCTAGGCTCCCCTCATCTTCACAACTCCAAACCTTAGGAAAGGCGGGGCATCACACCCTTTTTAGAGGCGAGAAGAGTCAAGGGGAGCCAGGGGCAGAGCCCAGGTAGCCTGGCTCCCTCCTAAGGCTTCTCCCCTTCATTCTTGCTGTGGTGCTGTCCTCTGCCCATTTTTAAGAATTAGAGGCTGAGGTAGGGGGAGGGGTGTGGTATAGTGGGCAGGACCTGATCTGGGAGCCAAGCAGGCGTAAAAAGCACAAGAAGACAGCTTGGGGTTGTGAACAGGGATTCTTTGTAGTGCTGAGACCTGAGGAGCTGAGGGAGGAAAGTGGGGCAGGGGGCAGGCATGGCAAGTCAGCCTGGAAAGCCAGGCCTGCTGCAGGAGGCAGGATGGGGGCATGCCAGGGGAGCTCACTCTGGGAAAAGATCGCCCGCTCAACAGGTCATCAGTGTGACAGATGTGGTGGCAGGTGACAGGTGCCGCCAACTTGGGCTGCTCTGAGAGGCACACACGGTGTCTGCCCTTGTCAGACCTCCTCTGGAGGAGAGCCCCATTCAGTCTGGAGAGCTGCCATTGGTGAAGGCCATTGATAAGTGGGAGAGCAGGCAGGCGAGGGAAGGGCCTCTGTTGAAGGGGATACGTCCAAGCCGAGAGAAGAGGGGGTGTCCTGGGGAGGAAGGATTGGCCCAGCTCCATCCTGCCCAAGAGCAGAGTAGAACCAGCTGAGAAGCTGATGAGGCTCCATCATCAGTAGCCACTCCCTAAAGACTAGAGCGTTTAGAAGGGGAGTGAGTTCCCGCCTGTGGAGGTCTTCAAGCAGAGGTGGACAACCTCCATGTTCTAGTGGGTGTTCACTTAAGGTATAGTTGGATGGGCTGGCCATTGGGGTCCCTTCCAGTTCTAACTTCTGTGACTCTGGGGCCTGTCTTTGGTCTTTTGTGGGGGCTGCTTGCTTTCCATGACCCATCCCCCTTCATGAATTAGTGATGCTGTTGACTCTGAGGCCATCCACCTTTCATCCAGAATCCTCACTCCACCCCAGGCCTTAGCATAAGGGTGATTATCTCAATTTGCAATTGAGGAAATGGAGCCAAGGAGAAATGATTTACTCAAAGTTACTGTGATCAGTAAGTGATGGGTGGGAAGAGAGCACCATTACAGCTCTGTGCGTGTGCTCATGTATGCATGTGCATGAACATGGGAGGCGGGGAATGTGGCAGGAGGGTCCACATGTCTCTTCTAGCCTTTGGGTCCAATGAAGCAGCAGTTTTGGGTGCTATCATTCAGTCCCGAGGAACCCACAGATCACCTGTGGCCCCGAATGACAGGTTACCTTGGTTCCTGTTTTAGCCCCATTAATCCCATTTGATGCCTTTGGGTGGAAGCATCCTGGCAGCACGGGCTTCTGCAGCAATGGCCCCTCACCCCAATTCTGACTAACCCTAACTAGCTGCCCACTTTCTGTCCATTCTTAGCCCCCTTTTCCCCCACCTCCAAGGGTTAGGTGAAAAGTCAATGTAGCTGTCTCAGTGACCTTGCAGGGATACCTCTCCCAGTGAGGACAAGTCCCCTGGTTCAGTGCTCTGAGGACATATCAGACATCACAATCAGCATAGGCCAGAAGGTTGTCTTGTATTTGCTTTATCTAGCACACATAAAGCCCAGGAATAACACAGGAATAACTGGAGCTCAGGCATGATCATGAACAAATATGGCTTCTGGACACAAGCAGTAATTGAGGTTGGGGAGGGGGATGTGGTACCTAAGAGATGACATGCTTTCACCCTTTGCCCCACACAGGAAAAACTCCCACTCATTGCTTTGTGGTGAGGGACTGCGCCCAGGGAAAATCGGCCAATGAAAGGAGTGAGAGATAAGAGACAAGGGAGTGAGGGTGGAATCCCTCCCCCTGGACACAGAGGCCTGGATTGTACATCTGTGGGCAGGGAGCAGGATTTGTAAACAGTACACAGAGTACTCACTATCCCTGTTGCAGTGGTCACCTTTGTCAGGTGTCCTGTTTTCCCAGGTGGCCATAAGGGCCAGCTTCTCAGTCCTGCTAAAAGCACCAGGAGCATCCAGAGTGTTCGCGCACATGTCACAGCATCAGCATACATTGAAGTAGTCTTGGGACCCCATCTCCCAAAGTTACTAACAAAGTGGGGGTGACACCCAGCCCCACACAAAACCCTGGGGCCTGAGAATATTCTTGTACTGCCCTGCATGCAGTGAGGGAAACCCAGGCAGGGGTGTCTGGATATAGCAGCTCTGCTAACTCTGTCCTAAAAGATGGTGTGAATGAAACAACAAGCGTGGAAACCAGAGAAGTGGTGGAGTTCCATGCCTGGCCCTTGGCATCCCTCAGCATGCCCATTAAACAGCGATCAGGTCACTAGTGGCCATGTTGGATTCACTGATTCCTTCCCAGGCCTAGTGATGCCCCCGCTCCTTCAGGACACCGGCTGGTCCTGCCCCAGCTCACATTGGAGGGTCCTGGTGAGTTCTAACCCTGAAATGCGCGAGTATCGGCAAACTCTTCCTTTCCTCTAAGCATCAACCGGCTTGTCTTGAACTTAGTGGGGAGGGCAGCTCATCCCTGTGTGTGAATAGCTGGGCAGGCGAAAGCTAGAGAGAGAGTTCTAGCCTGCTTGGGTTTCTGCCCAGTGGGAGCTGTCCAGTGCTGAATCTACCTAGAGAAGGCTTCTTTCAGAAACTTGCCTTAAGCATGGCCAAAGCCCACGAAGACTCCCACTGGACCTCTGATCTGTCAGTCACAGGGAAGTCAGACAGAGGGTCTTCTGCTAGATGGAGACCACTTTAAATGGCTCAGACACCCAAACTTCCCTTTGTCTTCCAAACCCTGGTGTTTAGGAGAGTTGGAAAAACCAACTGCTGTTAAAGGGAGGAGAGACAATTAATACCCTTCATTACCCAATCAATACCCAGGAGAGTACCACCTCTGGTTACAATCCTCCACTGCACCTGGGGAGCCATACACAAGGCAGGGTTGGAGAGCAATGAGTCTGGAGGAATATTCGTTCGTGGAAGGTGGCAGTTCTGGGCACAGTCCCTCACCACAAAGCAAGCATGGATCCATACTTCCATCCATTGATGGGACATGGCAGCTCTGGGCAAAGTCCTCCACTACACCTGGGAAGTTGTTCACAAGGTGAGCATGGAGGCCCATCCTTTCAGGGAAGGCTGTAGCTCTGGGTGTAGTACCTTGCCATGCCTGGGGAGCTGTCTGCCAAGCAAGCATAGAGCTTGGAGGGCCATTCATTCCTGAAAGTGGCAGCTCTGTGCACAGTTCCTCACTGTACCTTGGGAGTTATCCACAAAGCAGGCATGGAGCTTGAAAGCCCCTCCATTCATGGAAAGCTGCAGTTCTGGACACAGTCTCCCACCATACCTCAGGAGCTGTCTGAAAGGTGGGCATGGATCCTGGAGGCCCAACTTTTCATGGATGGTGGTGCCTCTGGAGGCATTTTTAGAAAAGGATTAAAAATGTGCCAGTCCAATGACCTGAGCCAAATCCTGCCCATTTGCTCCACCCTGGCATTTACTTGCCAGAAAAGTCTTTGATCCCTAACTCCCATATGTAGCTCATGTTTGAATGAATCAGCCCAGAAGATGTTGCCTAGCATTAGATGGCATGCTATTAAGATGACACCCCACAAACACCAACAGCCCAGAAGACTGGACCTGCTTAGCTGGGAAACCAGCATTGTGCTCCCAGAAAGTTTGTGGTCCGAAGCCTCAAAGCAGAGACCCATTCTTCAGGGGCGAGTGACATGTGAATGTAGCTCGAGATGGAAGACGAGTGCACGCCCTGTCTCCCAGACCCCTCACTTTTCTGTACTTTCTGTGGGCTTTGTTCCTGTGGCTGTGACAGGATCGTTTCTAGGTCCTGGATTAATGATGGGAGAAGTCATAAATGTGGCTGTGTGTGTGCATTCAAACATGCTTCTAACTCTGCCCAGATTCTCACTCTGGGCAGGACTTGCATCTGCAAGTCAATTGAAATATTCTTTACATAGCTGCTGAACTTGGTCCCTGGAGAGGAGATCTCCAGAGTCTGCCAGGAAGAGGACGAGAGAAGAAAAGAGGCAAAAGGAAGACACTGAAATGGCCCACCACTCCTCCTTTGCCAGCCAATCAAGTGGACGCCTCTCTGGACCTCAGAGCGGTGATCTCGGAGGCCTCCATGGCAAACTTCCCATTGAGCTGTTCGTTGTGGGCGTCGGGAGAATAAAGGTAAACAGGGACTTCCATGAGCGAGGTGGCTGTGTAGGAGGTGGAGCGGGTGGAGCAGCGGTCCCTCCGCCGCTGGCCCCACTGAGTCTTATACTGTGCCCATTGTCTCTTCAGTGCTCCTTGGACCTGGAAGAAGAGAAGGGTTGGGGTTAGTGTCATTCAGGAGCACCTCTGAGCCCCCTCTCCACCTTGTAAAGCCTTTTCGGGGAGGAGGATAGAGGTGAAAGGAACGGATGCCCTGAGCTCTCGGGGCTGGGCCACTGCTTCAAGGAGGAGCCAACGTGTGGCTCATGTTTCTGTCAGCCTTCAGGCCCAGAGGCTGGTGGTTTGCTGCTGCCTCGACTCTGGCCCTGAGTAGATGAATGGAGTGGCTCTGGATTCCCTGAATCTTACAGCTAATGCCAGGAAGCAAGTCTCAAGGCACGAGTTCAAGGGAGGAAATGTATTCTCTTGTGGGAACTGCTAAGTATGCACCTTGTGGAGGTGTGTGCACCTCAGCCCAACCCATGACTGTGCTGGTGGCTGATCCAGTGTCCCTGGGGACCAGGGAGTCACAGATGGTCAAGTGATGCCTGAGTGTTAGATATCATTAATATACACAAACCACACAGTGCTGCAGAGAGCCCGGCGCCAGCAGCAGCCTGATGCAGAAGCCTGGGCTTGGGGAGTTGGGGCAGCTTGCTTCAGGCCATGCAGCTTGTAAAGGGTCCAGGGCTTTATTATCCACCTCATCCAGGCTAGAGCCAGACCTCGAGGACCTTAGGGAAAGTCCTTTCGGTTAAAAAATCATCCTGTATTTTCTTAAGGAAGACGAGCTTCAGCATTTCCAAAGTAGTTCTTCAGAGTGAGAATACAGTGGAAGAGAATAAACATCAGTGCTGTCCTGAACTAGCCTGGCATTCAAGGCCCTGCACAGCCTTGCTCGAGGTTCCATTTGCAGCCTCATTTCCCATCCCTGCTAACCAGACTAGCAGCTGTTCCCTGTTCTGTTGCTGTGCAACTTACATGGAGATGTCCATGGGGCCTGGTGGGGACTCCACAGAAACCCGTCTGTCCCTCCAAGCCATACTTCAGGTGCCGCCCTCCAGGGATGGAGACTGGCATGGATGAAAGTCTTCTCTCCCTCCTCGAGGCCTTGGGTGGACTCCAAGGGTCCCGCCGGCTGCCCTGCCCCTTCTCCCTAGCATTCATTTGTGGGGGTGCACATGCTATGTCCTACCCATCCCCCAGGGGTCTGTCAACCCTTCACGGGTAGACACGGGGCATGTTTACCCAGAACCACAGTCGGGCCTGGTACCTCTGGGTGGTCTGGGTCCACACCTATGATTTCACTGGTGTTGGAGGAAAGCCGTCTACCAATGCAGCCCAGCACCTCAAGAAGTCCCACGACTGCCTAAGGTCACACTGACATCCTGGCACAGAGTAGGCACAGAGCAGGTTTGACGAGAACTCAGTGTCTCGAGTCTTAGAACAAAACAGAATCTCAGCACTGGAAGGGACTTTAAAGGACATTGGGTCCTCCTTGAACAGTAGTCCCTGACATATGGACATCTGGCCTCAACTTGAATATCCCCTAGGTTGGGAAGCTCACTCCCTTCTCAGGTAGCCCATTCCCTGACATTTGCTGAGCCACAGTCTGACTCTGTGAGTGACTTCCATCACTTGCTCTGAGGTCTGTCCTCAAAGGTAAAACAGAGCAAAGCTTAATCCCTCTTCATGACATAGCCGTGCAAAAACTGGGTGACCCTTCCCCACTCTGCCTCCAAACCCCCATCCTGTGACATCCCCAGTCCTTCCAGTTGATCTTGGCATATCTTTCCTGAAGTTGCTGAGAGGTCTGTAGCCAGGAGGGCCTGGAGGCAGGTGGAGATACCAGAGACAGGGGCCCCAGAGGGGGCGTGGCCAGCTGGCCACACCTGCTTTTCCTCTCACATCCAAGGTTGCTCTGCTGCATCTCTGAAGGGAGCTGAAGGGGGCGTTGGACAGGACTTGAGAATGGGCAAGAGGGCAGTGCTGCTGGCAGCCAACGTTGTCCTGGCAGTCGCTTTGCAGGTTCCTAACCTTGGTGGCTGAGAATTAACACGATGGACTTAGGACACGAGCGCTGGGCAATTCCCTCCTGTTCTTTGGGGGGCGGGAGTGGTGGTAGCGGGCCTCATCCAGGGTGCAGCCAGCCTGCCTGGCCGGTTTAACTTGACCCCGGTGAGACCAGCATTCCATCTTCTCACAGGAACGTTGTTACAAGAGGTGGGATGTTCTATGCTCTGGGCATCTTCTGGGCCCCACAGACCACTGTGGGCTGGAAGGGAGCCTCCCAGCCAAGCGGCAGTGGTGGTGGTCTGTAGTACTTCTATTCCCAAAGTAGAGAAATCGGAGATAATGAATCTTGGGGAGGAATTTTGCTCATCGGGGGATTTTAGAAACGAATGCTTTCACAGAAAGAAACATGCCCTATAAATAACACGGGGATTTCTCCCCAAGAGGAAGTCAGAGTGGGCGTGCATTAAGCATTAGTTTTTCATGTCTTTTGTCATGATATATTATAGACAGATGGGTGGTGCAGGGGAGAGAGAGTTGGGCTTGGGGTCATAAGACCTGAATTCAAATCTTGCCTTAGACACTTAATAGCAGTGGGACTTTCAGGCAGCCATTTGAGTTCTCTCATGCTCAGTTTCCTCCTCTGCAAAATAAGAGTAACTATAGCACCTCCCTTCCAGGGCTGTTGTGAGGATCAAATGAGATCATCTGTTCAAAGCCTTCAAGCCTTCAAGGGTCTCATAAAGCCAGCTATGATGATGATAAATGGTGATGGTGTTGGCACACTGCCTTGGGCTTCCAGAACCCTCCAGCTCATTCTCTCTCTTTGTGTTGTGCTTGGGGTTGTGGTGTGAAGCGTGTTCCCCAAAGACCTGGATTGTGGTGTGGATGAGGATAACACAAGGGAAGAGTCAGTACAGTCAGGGCCTCAGGGCCCCGTCTCTGGGAGCTCCAAAGCATCTTCCTTCCCTGAGCCTCGTGGGAGGATGGAGTGATAAGGGACTCATTTCACGTGGGGCTTAACCCCAGTTAAGGGTTTCTGTGCAGAAGCCCCAGCACGTGGCTTGAATAGAGGGTGGATGGTGAGGTTCCTTCGCCCACCCTCGGCAAAGCCTCTGTTAGGTTGTGACCACTCATCAGCCGGGGTGTGAGGTCAAATTTGAACTCAGGTCCTCCTGACTCCAGGCCCTGCACTCTATCGACTGCGCCACTCAGCTGTTTGCCAAACGATTTGCTGAAATCCAGATGAACTCTACCTGCAACCCTGACTGGTTTAGCACCATGTGGGAGGCAGGAGGAGGAGGAGGGGCTGTTGGCCAGGTGACTGACCATTGGTTCCTTCCCCTGCCTAGTGCTGGGCTGATAGGCTGGAGCAGGGGTGGGGAACCTGCAGCCTCGAGGCCACCAGGGGCCCTCTAGGTCCTCAAGTGCCTCCCTTTGAAGTTTAGATTTAGTGAAAGGGCTGCACTTGAGGATCTAGACGGCCACATGTGGCCTCAAGGTTGCAGGTTCCCCACCCCTGGGCTGGCGGGTCACTGTCTGGAGCTGCTGCAGTACTGATTCTGCCAGAGAAGAGCTCAGGAGGACACCTGCTGGATAGTCCTAAGGCGCAGCTTTGACTGTGTCACTCCCCAACTCAGTGAGCTCTTCCCTATTGCTCCTAGGATCAAGCACAGCCTCTATTTGGCTTTTAAAGCCCCCGCCCTGCCCCCATCTCCAGCCTTATTTCACATTTTCCACTTCTCCGACCTTCTCTTCCAGATGGAATAAGCCACTTTGTGTTATGGTGTTCCATTCACTGCTCTCCTGTGCCTTAAGCACACCATCTCCTTTCCTTGGCCTTTCAGAAGCCTTCTCTTTTTTCAAGGCTTAGATCAGGCTTCTTCCTTCACTGAATCTTCCCTAAGTCACTGTCTCTTCCTCCCTTTCCCCACCAAGGCCCGAGCCCTCTCTCTCCTTGAATTACCTTAGATTTACCTATCTGCTTACATATCATGTCCCCCAGTAGAATGCAAACTTCTTGAGGGAAGGTGCATCTCCTTTTTGTCTCTGCATCCCATGCCTAGCACAGTGCCAGGCACAGAGGAAGTGCTTCATTACTGTTTGCTGAATTGAATTGAGTTTTTCAAGACCTCAGGCCAAGAGCCAGGGGATTGCCAAGAAATGCTCACCTCGCCATTGAAGAAGCAGAAAATGGTAGCCACAAGCAAGCCCTACACACAAAAACAACAGGAAAGAAAAAAGGCAAGAAATGGGGTGTCAGTGATTGCTGGGTCATTGTGTTGCTTTTAATTAACAGAGCACTGGACTCAGAGGGATGAGTGGCCTGGCCCTTGCATTAACTAGCTGTGTGGCCTTGAGTCTTTTGACTTCTTGTGGCCTCAGTTTCCTCAACTGCAAAGTGAGAGAGATTCTCCATCTATGTACCTTCCAATTCTAACAGTGTCCGGATTTTTATTAACTGGGGTATTGATTACCTGGAAAGCCCCTGGAGGACCATGATGGCAAAAGAGCTGGGCTTGGTCAGCCCAGAGAAAAGAAGGCTCGGGGGAGGTGAAGGAAGGGGAGAATTAGCCTTCTTCTGCAACACTCCAAAGGGCAGACCCAGGAGCAATTCAGGGAAGCCGTATGGGCAGACTGGGGCTCACAGTCAGAAAAAACCAAAAACCAAAACTTGCTTCCAGCAAAAGCTGTTGGAGGTCATGGGTTTCTTTCAGGGAGGACTTCAAGCAAAGGCTGGATAACCATTTGTTGGGTATAGTGTGTGTGTGTGTGTGTGTGTGAGAGAGAGAGAGAGAGAGAGAGAGAGAAAGTATGTATATGATTATGAATGTGAGTGTGAGGCCCTGAGTTTGTGCATATGATTATGAGTGTGTGTAACATTGTGTGTGAGATTCTGTGTGTGTATGATTATGAGTGTGAGTGTAAGAGCATGTGAGACTGTGTGTATGATTATGTGTAAGAGCGTGTGAGTGTGAGACTGTATATAATTATGAGTGTGAGTTTGTGTAAGAGTGAGACTGAGTGTGTGTAAGAGTGTGTGAGTGTGAGACTGTATATAATTATGAGTGTGAGTGTGTGTAAGAGTGTGTATGAGACTATGTGCGTTTTCTAGCTCAGTCTGGGCTGGCACCAGATGGCCTCCCAAGCTCGGGCCACCTCTCAGAGTCTGTGATTTGGGGCTGATCTCTAAGGGGCTGCTTCCAGGCAGGGTTCAGAGCTGAATTACTGGGGCTGGTAAAGATTTGTTTGTTTGCTTGTTTTTTGGTGAGGCAATTGGGGTTAAGTGACTTGCCCAGGGTCACACAGCTAGTAAGTGTCAAGTGTCTGAGACCAGATTTGAATTCAGGTCCTCCTGACTCCAGGACCAGTGCTCTATCCACTGTGCCACCTAGCTGCCCTCCTCCCCCTCCCCCCCACCCCCTTTTTTTTGTTTGTTCTGGTAAAGATTTGATGACTTGCCCACGGTCACAGCAGCTTGGATGGAGGATCAAGCAGATAAGTCCATCAGTGCTTGGCAGGCCTTAAGGTGCGGGTGAATGCACAGGGCCCTCCTCCTCTTCCTCTGCTCCCTCCTCACTAATTATTCGTGCTGTGGTTTTTAAGCTTGGGGCTCCTACTCTGGGTCAAGAACTCTTTTCTCCACATTCAAGCGCTATCACTTCTGGAATATTGGGATTTGTATTGGGAGCATGTGCCTACATGTTCTCCCGCTGGCGGCTGTCGGAAATAGCCCCAGCCGTGATGAAACAGGACATGCCAGAGCTTCTCTGGGAAGCAGAAAAGTCATTAATTACTAAGCCCTGACGGGTGGCATCCTAAGGCACCTTGCATCCATCTCGTTTCATCAGTTCTGAAACAACCAATTAACCCCCCGTCCCCCAACTTAATAGAGTCTTTGCTGCCTAATGAAATGCTGTGGCCTGGAGTGGCTGGTGTTGGCAGGCCCCACGCGCCCCCTGGCTCTCCTGCAGCACGCTGGGAGGGCAGCCCTCAGTCTCGAGGGAAGCCCCACGGAGCAGCAGGGGCGTCTGGACAGCCAGGCTGGGAGCGTCCCTACCTGGTAGTGCATGAGCACGTGCATGACGTAATCATACACCTCCCCGGCCAGCTTGCTCTCGGGCCGCCAGGGGATGACGACGAACTGGACGCCCAGCAGGGGCACGAGGATCAGCGTGGCCCGCACGGCCTTCATGTACATGTTAGACTCGGCGCGGTGGGTGTCGCGGAGCTTGGTCACCAGCACTCGCACGATGTTGAGTAGAAAGAAGAAATTCACCTGGAAGGGGCGCCCGGGGATCAGGGGAGCAGCCGGGCGTGCGCCCCCTCCCCAGACCCCCTTTGCGGCTGCCTGGAGCCCCCGAGGGAGCGAGAGTGCAAATCCTGGCACTTAACCTCTGCCTGCCTCGGTTTCCTCGCCAGGCGCTTTATGAATGTTATCTCATTCGAACCATCTGTCCCAGGCTCAGGCTCCCTCCAGGGAATTTCTGGTGTTTCCCCTTCTCCGGGCTGAACAACAGAGTTGGGCCCCTGGGGGCTCGCACTCTTCCCATGGGCAGGTGTGGAAAGACCAGACCATGAGGCATTTCTGCAAAACCCACTCCTCAGAGCGGGGTTCACGAGCAGTTCCTCTTCAGGCCCCTCCCTACTGAGGTCCTTAAGTGCCACTGGGGCCTGCCTGGGCCTGCCTCCCTTCACTGCTGGAGGCCAAGTCGGGGACATGCCTGGGGAAGGGGAGCCTTGGGCTGCTTCTACCACCCAGGAATCATCTACTGACTGGAGGGGACTCTGTGTGATGCTAATGAATGCAACCAAACTGGGCTCACCAGCAGCGCCGCCACGATGGGTGCGTGTATGATGTACAGTAGGTGGGTGTCCACACTCATCCAGCAGCTGCAAAGGAAGCACAGGGTCAGTCTGGGTGTCTGGGATGGGAGGAGGCCACCGGGAAGAAGGGTCAAGGTCAATGGGCTCTTACTTGTCATTGAAGAACTTGGTTCTGGAGACAGCGTGAATGCAGGCTGGTATCAGAGGGAAACCTGGAAGAGCAGAGTGCCCCGAGGTAGCAGCAGCTGTTTGCTGTTCCCCTGCCTGAAGGCTGTGGTGTGAGAGGTCCCTTCCCCGTAATACCCCCCCCCCCCAATAGACTGTAAGCCTATAGAAAGCATCCGTTAGAAGCCTCAGCATATCGTACAGACCTAGATTTAATCAGTCAACCCACAAGTACTTAAATGCTTATTCTGTATGAGGCAAAGGGCTAGCCCCTGGACATAAGACAAATGGGACACTTCCTGCCCTTGGGGAGTCTCTGTTCTAGCAGAAGAGACAACCACCAGGCAGAGTGTAGTAGTGGACAGAACACTGGGCTTTCAGTCAGGAAGACTCTAGTTTGAATTTGGCCACGGACCCTTCCTAGCTGTGTGACCCTGGGCAAGTACTTCACTTCGGCTCTGTTGGCCCCAATTTCCTCATGTGTAAAATGGGAATAATAGTTATTATTAGTTATTCTGTATGTATGTATGTATGTATGTATGTATGTATGTATGTATGTATGGGAACTGGACCTTTGGCTTCATTGCTTTAGGGCTTCCCAGGTAAGGAAACTCCTATGAAGGTGGGTTGGTGCCGTCTCTGAAAATTGTGGTCTTAGAGAGCTTCCTGGGACACTAAGAAGTTAAGTGACTTGTTTGGGGGTCACGCGATCAGTATGTGTCAGAGGCATGATATGGACCCAGGACTTCCTGGCTTTCAGGCCAGCTCTCTGTCCACTTTCTCCTCCTCCTCCTCCTCCTCCTCCTCCTCCATCCCTCTCCAATCTCCCTATCTACATTTCTGTCTTTTGTCTCTTTCTTACCCCTCTGTTTTCCTTCCTCTTTTTCTCTCTCTTCTCTCTCTCTCTGTCATTCTCTCTCCCTCTCCTTCCAAAATAAAAACAAGGGAATTTTGAGGGGAGGGCAGGAGCATCTGGAGGGATCCTGAAAAGTGGGGCTTCAGCTGAGTTTGGAAGGAGAGAGCGAAGGAGTGCCTTCCACCGAGACGGAAAGTACCTCAGAGCCTAAGTGAAGTACTTGCGCAGTACTGAGGTACCCCAGTAGTCATCTACTACAGTGCCTTATTTGACAGGCTTGTAGAGATGAAGTCACACGGAGAGTAGAGGGCAGAGCTGGGATTTGAACCCAGGCACTCGGACGCCAATCCAGAGTTTCTTCTCCATCCCATGCTGCTTCTCATTAGCTGAGGATATTAGGTGAGAAGTATTTTCCACGGTGGAATTTGGCTATTGTCTCCTACAACATGTTGAAGACAGGCAGTATGTTTTCTGTCTGTTTACTGCTTTGAACGTGTGTCCTTTCTAGAAGCATCTGCCCCCCGCACGAAGTCCCCACTGCGCTCAGCTCTGTGTACTTGCCCAGGCCTCAGGAGGCTGATCTGTCAGAAGACCCAGGGGAGGCAGCCATACATACCCCAGCCCAGAAGGTAGTACCAGTGCAGCCTGTGCTCCTCAGCAAACACAGCCACCACGATGAGAGTATGCAAGTAGATGCCTTCACACAGCATCCAGAAGTAATTGCATCCCATCATATACTGGTGGAAGAACTGTAGGACCTTGCAGCTCACCTAGAGGGGCAGAAAAAAGAGAGCATTCAGCTGGAGACCTGGTGGCCCCTGCCCCTGGGCACCCCTTCCTCACCCTCTGGAGGTGGCTCTTCTAGGGCTGGAGCTGTGACTCAGTCCAGCCAAGAAGAGATGGGTCTCCCAATATGCCTGATGTTTCATGCAAGCAGACCAGCTGCGAGGGGTCTAGAACATGGAACAAGTCCGGGAGAAGTGAAGGTCCCACATCACTCAGGTCCAGATGTCCCTGTGGAAAGCCTCACCGACCACACAGAGGGGCCACAGACTCCTGATCGACTGTACAGGCTATGGCATGCTCTTCCTGGTTATTTGGGTTAGTGACAAAGGTGCCTTTTTTCCTAGAACACTTGTTCATGATGTCCTGCAGTAGAGTGAAATGCCATGATGCTTCCTTTGTTTTGTTTTTTTTTAATTAATTTATTTTGAATTATCAACACTCACTGCTATAAGTTTTTGAGTTTTAAATTTTTCTCCCCCTCCCTCCCCACCTCTCTCCCCAAGACGATGCACAATCTGATATAGGCTTTACATATACATTCTTACTAAACATATTTTCACATTAGTGATGTAAGGAAGAATTAGAACCAATAAGACGAACCACCAGAAAGAGAAAACAACAAAACAGAAGGAAAAGAACAGCAAATAGTCTGCTTCGATCTGCATTCACACTCCATAGTTATTTCTTTGGATGTGGGTAGCATTTTCCGTCATGAGGCCTTTGGAGATGTCTTAGATCCTTGTACTGCTGAGAAGAGTTAAGTCCATCAAAGTTAGTCATCATAAAATGTAGCTGTTACTGTGTACAACGTACTCCTGGTTCTGCTCACTTCACGAAGCACATGATGCTTCCTTTGTAAGAAGCAACAGGACAGAGGTGAGTTTCCTGTACCTGGGACAGGTGTTTTGGGGGCCAGGGAGTCAAGCACTTTGGCTACTTTTCTCTGCCTTCACTGATACCTTTGTGGGCACTTTCCTTGGGAGTGATATAATTTCCACATTGGTTTTTGAAAGGTGGGAAGTGCTTCATGGCCTCCATTCATGCCCTGGCCTGGAGTTTATCACAGGATTCTGATCCATCCTGCCCCCCAACTCCATCCCCTGGCTCTTTGTAGTCAGTCATTTATTGACCTGGAGGCCTCTGTGCAATGTCTAGGCATTTGAGTTCCAAGGCTGTGCCAGTCAGCCAGCCCTAGTAGGGTCTGCCATACTGGACAGCCTCCCATGATAGCCCCCACAATTGCTCAGCTCTACCTTCCAGGACCAGCCTAGTCAATACAGAAATATCTGCCACCAGCAGACTGGCCACTTTGGGGTGAATTCTTTGGTCCTGGCAGCACGTGAGGCAGAATGCAAAAGGGCCCTCTGTCCTACGAGGCCCTGTCTGCTTCTTCAGCCACAGTGGTCACGTGGCAGAATGTGGGCACACTAACAACCACACAGTCTTTAGACCATCCATAACTGTCAACTACGCTGTTGGTGCCTTCAATGTGGGATTCTTGTCCAATGACCATCAAGTACACTTCTTTCCAGAGGGACTGAGTGGCATTCATCTGGACATTCTCAGTGGAAGGATAGCTTATGGGATTTTCTCAGAGAGGCAAAGAAAGGAGTTGGCAGAGCTGACTTCATTGTGTCCCAAAAGATGAAAAGAAACAGTACTTTATGGGGCCCTGGGACATCTATTGCAGGGCTCATCATTAGTACAGTAAAAAGAGCATCTTGGAAGCAATTGTCTATGATGTGCCAAAGCTCACTACAAAGGAGGAGAAGGAAATAGAGAAAAATCTACTAGGAATTAGAAAAACACATATTTTAATACTCTGATGTCAATACAAAGGTGGGCACTAGAAAGAGGGTAAAAATATTTTGGAAAAGGTGGTCCAGGAGCAAGAAATGAAAGAGACTAAAGGCTTGTAGACTGTATGGACAGTCAGTCATGTCTGACTCTTCATGACTCCATTTGTTTTTTTGTGTGGCAAAGATACTGGAGAGGTTTGCCATTTAATTCTTC